ACTAACTAACTAACTAACTAACTAACTACTACTGTCATCCTGGAGACATGCCATCTCAGCCGTGCCCAGCTGAGGAAAGGTTTCAGGAAGTTCTGACAGGGTGCCAAAAATTGCAACGGTTAAGGCTTCGGCAGATTTGGCGTGGATAGATCGAACCAAAAATGACCTTTGGGTCATTGCCAATGCTTCTGCGGCGGACTGTGGGTGCTTGTAGTTGTCGCGCGGAATGTTCAGCTTTTGTGTGGCTCACTCGGATGGTCTCAGGGGTTGGAGGTGCTGAGAACTACAGTCAAAAAACGACACTCACGATCTGTTTGAAGAATGTAACCCCAAGACTTCGGAGCTGAGCTGGCCAAGACTTTGGAGCTGAGCTGGGCAAGACTTCGGAGTGGAGCAGCAGGGTGTTTCAACCGCTGAGTCAAGCCTTGGTCGTAGCGTATCCTCCACTCAAGATCTCCCATGGATAGAGATGGGCAGATGCATGGCTGGGTGCACGGGTGGATACATAGGATGGACAAGACCGATGAGAAAAGAAGACGACAACGAACGACTGCAACAACAACAACAACAACAACAACATAAACACCAACGAACACGACAACAACCACAACACCTACAACAACAATACACAACCTCTGATGGGTGGCCTGTTGGCCAGGAGGCTCTTGAAAATGAAAGACACACCCCAACTTGTACTACAAGAGGTTCACCAGGGGGTCACATCTTCGACTCAGCGAACCCTACATCAGAAGACTGCCACATGAACAATGACTGCCTTCTTCAAGCACTCCCATGCAGCCTCACCTCCTTCAGACCAGCCAAGACCAGCTTCCTCTGGTGCTGCGCCTTGCCGATCGATTCACGGGAAAGAAGAAATCGTCCAATCAGTCCAGTCGAGCGTGTTGAAGGTGTGTTCTCTCCATTGTCAGCCCAACTTTGGGAGGACCTTTGGGATGATTCATGTGAACTGGACTTATGGCTCTTAAGAGATGGCCTTCAAACATCCATCCTTCGCCCCTTCTTCTAGCCATCGTCGTCTCGGATGACTTGGACCCACGAACCAGTGGCGTGGAGAGAAAGCGTTCGAACGCCAGGAGGAAAGTTCGGAACCCTGCTCCCAAGATGTGTTCTCAAAAGGGATTCTGATGAAGATTTATGATGGTGTATGAATATGATATTTTACAGGAAGGTTGGGCACCCAATCCAGCAGTTGAAACGAATCGAGATCCTCAAAATGTGATTCGCTGTCAAAGTCAGAAATTCCTTGTGGGGCCACCCCAAGATAAGAAAATAGGGATAATTCATGCCTCCACACAACCTACCAAAAGACTTGAACCCCCAATTCCTATTGGACTCATCCGCCAACTCTTCGAAAAGAAGTTCCCACTCCAGTTCGTCGATGTCTGCTTGCACATCCTTTCTCATGTGTCCTCTTCCCTTTGCCTCTTTCTGCTCGTTTCTTGTCACTGTTGGTTCCCTTGATTCTTCCCAGGCACTGACTCCACATGCTGCTGCATGTTGGCTTCTGGTGAAGGCCCAGCTTGGCAAAGCCAGCAAAAGAAGCCATCGGGCGACCAAAGGATTCCTCAGAGAAACACCAGCTCCGCGCATCTGAAGTCAGCTCTGGTGAAGTACGTTCGTCTTGAACGGTTTCGTGGACCTTTTGTTGGGCTACGACTGAGACAGGAGGGTTTGTTCTTCACGCACAGGCATGCTGCGGCATGCTGCGGCATGCTGACTTGATGTGTCTCGGTGTTGAGATATTGGTCTTCAGCGGTTTTGGGTCGTCTACCCCGAGTCCTAGACCGCACCCAGAGACCAGTAAGTTCTGTCAGGCTGCAGGATGCACTTCAAGGCTGGGTCACCAAGCACCAAGATTTGGCATAGAAAGCTCAGATTCCGCAGCCAAATGTGTGGTTGACATCTTGATCTCTTGAAGTGGCCATCTTGATCTCTCCCTCAAGCTGCTTCTATGTTGCTGTTGGAAGAACATCGGATTCCTTGCAGGTTAGATTCCTTGGATCCGTAGGTTCTGGATGTGAACCGAATTAAAAAGCAAGGTGCAGCATTCACCGGTTGCTTAGGCACTCTGCCCAACGCCGTGAGATGAACGGGGTGAAACGTTGCAGCAAGAGTTGCGTGGAACAGAGCAGTGGTCCTCTGTTCCTCGTTTCTGTCCCGAATGAAAACTGTTGAACATGACCGCCAACCTTTTCTTGTGAATCTTGGGCCACCCCTTATAATCCTCTACAGACCAGTGAATGGCTGGGGTTGCAGCCCACCGAGGCGAACCCTTCCCACGGCGAACCCTGACTCGTCGAGCAGCGCTGCTCTTGCCACTCTGGCTTCAGCTTCACTTGCTCGTTGCCAGCCTTGCTTGGTGCCTACACCATTTCTAGAATATGACCTCACCCTCCCAACATGGAGCTTCAAAACGGGAGTTTTACTGCGGGACAACCGAAAAACAAGACCCAGCATGGACATGAAATTCAACGCTTTCGCTGTGTACTGTATACCATCCGGTCAATCTTCTCGACCTTTTCACTCTGATGTTTTCAAAAATGCCACCACCCTCGCACTTTCGCCTTGGCCTTCTCAGCTTGGCCAAGCTTTTCGAGTGTCGCCCCGACCGGCTTTGGGTCTTGCAGCGCCAACAATGACACGAAGGCGCGCTGGGCGACATGCTCGGTACCTTCAGACCTCGGGGTCGCCGGAGCCGCGGAGCGGAGCCGTTTGTCTAAGCAACACAAGCCTTTTCGGTGTTCATCGGGCTTGGGTGCATCATGTATTAGCTCTAGTTCTAGACAGCTTACTTTGTAGCAACGAAGTACAAACAAAATATCACAGCTAGCTTTGATAAGCCATTCGTCATTTCGCGAGGTGAATGCTCATACTGAGACATGCATGGCTTAATCTTTGAGAAAAGCAAATGACTACTGGCAGGAACAACCAAACAACCGGGTTTCAACCTCACGAGCACCGCACTTCACTCTACAGCGGCGCGGCGGGACCGCTAGAGGTCGACAATTCAAGTCTGCAAACAGCCACCCTGCAGCAGAGATGCTCCGTGCTCTCTTGTCTTTGTACGTTTGGTAAGGTCGATTGTGAAACATTCATAAACTATGTTATACATGCTGCCTTTCCATATGTCTTGCTTGTTCCATCTTCATCCCTGGTTCCCATGACTCCACTTCTATGCCCTCCTATCCAAACCCGACTTTTTCCAGCTGAGATCCCCTGGCGAGATCTTTTCTAAACTCTTCACCTGAGATTGGCTGGGAAGCCTCCTTCCAACGCTGGAGAACTGTCAGGAATTTCCGATTTCGTGTAAGATGGTGCCGAGTTCAATCACACATGACTTGGTGACATGGTGTGCGTCAAACCAACTCAGCAAAGGCTTCTACGAAAAAACAACACTAAAAATGGCATGTGACCAACCCCCACAATTCAAGGGGTCCAAGCGTCATCTGCGCACGCTAAGAGGCCAAAAGTGGTGGTGCTTGATGTGTCTTTTGCTCTTTTCAGGGCCCGCATGCTGTCTGCCAAAGCCCCATACCTCTGGCCTACACAAGAGTATCCAGGATCCAGCAATATGTGTTTTTTTTGCGCGAGGTCCACCAGTCCAGTTTCAAGTTCCCTGATCTGGCTAGGTCAAGATTGGATAGAGCAATATTGAAGCCAATCATATCATAGTGACAATGCAAGGCAAATGCATATATGCCCTTGGACTTTCCGGGGCTAACCCAATACTGTTGATGGAAAACTCTTCCCGCACCACATAAGGTCACAATGACCTACCCTTGTGCGTTGGACTACAATGCATCCACTCCACCATTTGCTCCGCCACAGACTTGTCTGTCAATCATGAATGTTCTATATAATCAAAACCTTCCACAGCTTGGGGTCAGGTTCAGCTTCGTCAGCAAATTGGATGGATGCAAACATGGATCCTTGCCATCAAATCTAATGTTATGGGTTGTATAGGAACGTATAGATTACTGCAAATAATTTGCCATACATAGCACAACATGTCACACCTGTTGTATCTCACAAAAACTGTACTGCGAGGATATGAGTGCCTCAACGAGCCGGAGCTTCCACACCAAGCCGTGTCGTCGCGGAACGGTGCGCTGCGTCCAAGACACCAAGCCCTTTTTCTCCACACCGTAAGCCTGCGTCCTGGTGGGGAAAATGGTACGGAGCCACGGTGTCGGCGGATGAGCTACTTCAAGCTGGTTAGTGAATAAAGTCCATTCTGTCTATCCATCTAACTATCTGAATTATCATGAATTATCTATCTATTTATCTGATTATCGATCTGTAACTTCAAATAAGAAAAAAAGTAACTTATTATATAGCTTCTACAATTGTGTTCTACTAAAACACCTCATGTGGTCACCCACCACACGTCAATGGCACGGTTCCGCCCACGTTTGACACGTTTTTGGCTCGGACTCCTGATGTCGATGAGGCACGAGACATGTAGCCTGGGATATCGCGGACGGATTCCGTGGGAAATTTCCAACTCCAACACCCACGTCGGTCGTGGTCTGAAACGATAAAAGGTCCGTTCAAAATTTAGACATCGATTTGTCGTCTTTTTTAAACGTCCCAGTAATGAAACAAACAATTCTTGAGGATGTCCAATGTCCAAAGGAAACGAGTCACTCCTCTGAACTTGGCAGCCCCAGTAGCTTAAAGGTCTTCAGGAACCTCTTCTGCAGCAGCTCGACATCTCCTGAAGCGTCGTTTTGGCGTGTTTGTGCACGTTCGCGAAACCGAACTTGATTCACTTGGTGCTCTACTTTCGGTCATCACCTGGGTCCAAAAGAACCAGTCGTTGACCGCCACAGGCCTCTCACCGGTCACTCCGGAGGTTGGTGGAAAAAGGAGTCATGGTATGTCATGGTCACTCCCCCCATCTCTCCCGACCTCTCCTGCATAGATCTTTGGCAGTCCCGCATGCGTGAGCAAGTCCTTCACCTGGGGAGAACACACGGCGATGCGACCGCACTCGTGGTGAGAGTTTTTGCGTTGGGACGCCCGGCACATGGCGTCTGTTCCATCTCCCTGGTGGTTTGAGAATCACTGGAAAAACTGAAAATGGTCAGCCGAAGAAACATGGTGAGGACATTGATCACAGGAAGAAAACAGCAGATCTTTCACAGGTGGATGAGTCTACGGAAAGCCATGGAAAACGCACCACTCGCCAGGTGATCTAGGGATGAAAATGGACCAAAAACACGTGAACGACAAAGGGACCCACTGTCTATGATCGAAACGACTGTCTTTGGGAAAGAACGCCAAGTACGTAAGAGATTTCTCTGATATGTCATGAAATCAATGCAGTTTAGCCGGGCTCGAAACCGCTTGGTCAGCCAGCCAAATGTCCATCACCCACCGTAGGAGCTCAAAGTTTATCAAGTGTTCTCTGTTTTGGTTCCTTTGCAGTACGCATGAGTGAACGCTTTCGTTCGCATATGCGTTGCTTTCAGCCCCTTCTGCAACAATTTTGGGAGACTCGGGGTTAACCACGGGAAAAACAAGTGACATTAACCACGACACCTTCTTTTTCCCCAAACAGTGTGGTGCCGTGCCCATTTTCGGACATGGTGGTCATTTTTCGTGGCAGACGCAGGGGAAACCCCATGCTTTGGTGGTCTGGGGTCGGCTTTTCGTGGCGGGTCCCAAAGTCGACCCCGTGACAGGCGCAAGGGATCGGAGCGGCTTTAGTTCGAAATGCAGATTTCGTGGCAGGCGCAGCACTTCGGACATGGTGGCGATCGTCGAGGCGCTCTGATTTCGTGACAGGTGCAGTGAATCGTGACTTTTGGACATGTGGCTCGTTTGCAGATTTCGTGGCAGGCGCAGTACTTTGTGGACCTTGCAGTGCAGATTTCGTGACAGGTGCAGCACTTCGTGAACCTCGAAGTGCAGATTTCGTCGCAGGCACAACACTTTGTGAACCTCGAAGTGCAGATTTCGTCGCAGGCACAGCACTTTGTGGAACTCGAAGTGCAGATTTCGTGGCACTTTGTGAACCTCGAAGTGCAGATTTTCATGGCAGGCGCAGCACTTTGTGAACCTCGAAGTGGCAGGTGCAGCACTTTGTGTTCTCAGGTGCTCGCTCTCACTCTCTCTCACTCCCGCACTCACCATACTCACTAATACTCACACACGCTCACACTCACTCTCACTCGCGCTCACACTCACTCTCTCTACTCTGACTCTCTCTCTCTCTCTCACTCACTCACTCACTCACTCACTCTGACTCACTCTCAAACACGCTCTCACCCACTCTCACTCTCACTCACTCTGACTCACTCTCACTCTCACTCTCACACTCGTTCTCACTCTCACTCTCTCACACTCTCACTCTCCCACTCTTTCACTCTCTCACTCTCTCACTCTCACACTCTCACAGTCACTCACACTCACACATGCTCACGCTCACACTCTCACTCACTCACTCACAATCACACTCACTCACTCACCACCACCTGTGCGTCTAGATCAGCGACCAAATCCAGGCTAGCTTCACCCTGAGCCTGCTCATCATCTCCGCCTGCTCCGGCGCGAGTGTGTCATCGAGTTTTCCTCCCAGTCCGAACAGCTGCCACACAATCCCGTCGTTTGCAATCAAAGGGACGTTTAAGCTATTCTCGGCTGGGCGGCTCAGGTTCCCATCTTCGGCTTTGCCTCCATAGTGGACTGGGAAGAGCTTCTCAGGTGAACTCTGGTTCTTCTTGTCCAGGGCATTAGGCCGCTCCAGCGCTGTGTCCAGCTGCTTGACGCTGGCCTTCGTATCTGGCCGGGCGATTCCATTCATCTCCTTGAGGATTTTAATCGCGATCTCGACCTGGTCGTTCTGCTTTACGCAGTTCTTGTGAACGTAGACCTTCAGCGCGTTGTGAATGGCTGGAGCATCAACATGAAGATCATCTGGATGGTGTCGATGGCCTCCTGTTGCGTCTGCCCCGAGCTCGTGGCTGTCACGCAGGCCTCAATGATACCCTCGCCAGTCACCTCACTCTCCATCAGCGCCTCACGCTCCACCTTCTGCTTGGCCTCATCCTCCTCTCTCATAACTCTCACGAGGCTGTCACTACGACTGCACGATCTGCGAGGTTCCTCCTGCGGGCTGCTTCTCTCGTCTCGTCCGCAAACATGTCTGTCCATACCCAGCTCTGCTTCCGCTGGCCAGCTAGGCCATATCTCCCCTTTGATGTAGCCAGCACTGTGCCCTGAGCACCAAAGTAGGGAGCTTCTTCTTGATGTCCTGCATACTGTTCAGGCGTCTCCCGCCTGCGACGGTACGGCCCTCCCATGAGACGAGTCTCTGGACAAGTGTCTCTGGAACGATGTAGCGCTTGACATCCAAACCAACGCAAGCTGCATCTTGGGGAATGTCTTTGACTAGCTGCTGCGCCTTGGCCGGCTCTGTCTCCTCAATGTTCTTGGTGTCCACCATGTCTTCCATGTACTTCGGGTCCACGATGACGGTGTTCTCGAGAGGTACTTGACGTAGATCTCCAACTTCCGATCGCCTCGAACTCCTCCGGGCGTATAGCCAGCCAGCTCGCCCATGCACATGATCCAATCATGGCTTCCATCATCACGGCTCAGCCTAATCTTCAGCCACACAGGTTTGCCCATGACATCCTCATGGTCCAAGGCCCCTCGGGGTGGTGATGGGATCATGATCTTACTCAAGTCCACCGAGTTGGATCGCATTGACGTCATCCCATTCTCCTTCTTGGCCTGCACCCGCACTTCATCACGACCTGCTTCAGCAGCTACCTCAATGGCGGGTGTGTCCAAGGCAGGGCTTCTACTGCGGCTCAAAGCGGCGTCGAAACCCTTGAGAAGCATCCCATTGGGATGTGGGCTATCTTTCCGAGAACCAGATCCTCCTTGTTCGCATAGGTGATCATAGCAAAGGGGAACTCCATGGCGTGCTCCTTTGGATGCCTTGTGAAGGTCAGTACACCGCACTTCCGTTTGGCGGAGGCACTCTGATAAACTTGACGGTGATGCGCACAAAGGGGTACTCGAACTAATTGCCCAGGTCCTGGTGGCCTGACATCCGAGGCCTCAATGTCTTCGTCAAGCAAGGTAGTCTCCTCCTAGGTCGCCATGTTGTTAGCCAGCGGTCTCATCTTGCCGTCCACCACCAAGCCAACGCGTACTCCTTGCCATGGGGCTTCATCACCTTCCACCTCAGACTCGGAGTCGGGGTCCAAAAAGCGTTCATGACCACCCTCGTCTCTTATGACACGGTTCACCTTTTTCACACAGCACAAGCGGCAGCAGCATCTTGCCATGCGTGCGAGGAGTCCAAGAACACGCCAAACTCCTCGACCTCGACTTAGTAGCCCAATGAGCCAGCGTGGTGAGCGATGTGCATAGCGATGTAGTTCGAGAAGAGCTTCATGATCGATTCCAGCGAATTCCTGAAAGTGCAAAGCGTGCTCGGCCTTGCACTCCAACTGGCGGCACCTGTGGATCTCCCCCACCTCCTCCAGTTCTCGACGGAATTGCCTCGAAGTGCATCCAGAGACACCGCTGAACTTCACCCTGAGGCCGTCACTGTCGATTCTCTTCAGCACGCTTTCTTCTTGAAGTAGCCGTGCAACATGCCCTCCACGACGTATGACCACGTCGTTCAAGCGCCTTCTGCTGCCATGTCCCTTCAGCCGCTGCTGTAGGTAGCGGGTTTCCGTGGGCCACCCGGCTTTGGGCCCATGCCAATCGATGTCAACCATCGGAGGCCTTGCCGTTGGTAGGGGAGCTTCGAGTCCATCTTGACGGCGGCAACAGCATAGACCACGTAGTGCCTGAAGTCGTCCTCTCCCAACTGCACGACATGGTCCAGTCAGTGTGTGCAGACTGTAGGTCAGGATCCAGTAGTCCAGTGTTAAAGCTCACCATGATGATGTAAGCTGCCCACGGCCACCAGCTTCCAAACGCCTGCACCCCGATACCGTCAATGAAGTAGCCCGCCCAGCCACCTTCAGCTCGAAGGCTCGCTGGACAGTCAGGAGAGCCAAGCCAAGGTGCCTCATCTCCCCCATTGGTGGCGTCAGTCTGTCGCCAGAAGCCCCAGACAGCGCCTTCGAACCACCAGAAGATGCCCTCCTGCGTGGCCGTCTTGTTGAGCTTTGGTCCGCCGTCCTCATCCGGAGTGTCAGTGAGATTTACCTCCGGGACGGGTTCCGGGATAAGCTCTCGCCCCCATGGCCATCCCACAACCAAGCGGAGCAAAGGGAAACAGACGTGGTGCCACATCTATTGGCAGAAAGCCCCTCCGAGCCCAAGCTTCAGAAGCGAGCGGTCCTTAGAACCTTGCATTTTCCTAAAGCTCAAATTCCCATTTATCGTCTTTCTTGCTATTGGATTTCCTAGGACAGCAAAGCGTGGTTAAGTAGAGCTCTCCTTTTCGGCCACCAAGCAGCCACATCTGGTAGCCACTCACCATGCATCTGGAAAACGCAGGCGGCGTCCTGTGTGTTTTTCGTGCGGCGATGACCAATATACATGTGCATTATGGCAAGAATATGGAACAATGGTAGTTGTTGAAGACCATTTCTTTGGAAATCTCTCAGCTTTGAGGGAACAGGGCGCAAACATTGCTACATGAAGGGAAGACCACTGGGATCTTCTGGAGTCTCTGGAAAGATTTTAAGAAAGGGTTAGCTGTGGCATGCGGGAGACAGGTCTTCCGTTCCAAAAGGCAACCATTGACTCTGCCAGCCAAGCGCCGCGCAGAAGGCGCTGACAGGTGTTCCGTGGCCCTGATCCCGGCGCATCTCGATCCTCGACCGCCAAGGCCAGCAAGCGAATCCCCGACTCGGACGCTTCGATGGCCAGACCGATACCCCGGCGCGAGCGAGCGCCCAGCAGCAGGTGGTAGCACACTGCGGTGTCCTGCGAAACAAAGAGAGGCTGGGACATGCACCAAAGCCAAAGCCTGGAAGAAGGAACTCCAACACCATGTACACAGCAAAGGGACAAACACGTCGGTAGGTCAACCAAGAAACCGAGGGATTTTGGAAAAACCGCCTTCGTCTACCCCGCAAGTCTCGCAAGTCGGTAGCTCAACCTGTCATCCGCCAGCGCCAGTCACATGAAGTCCACTAGATCGGACGAACAAGTCTCGCTAGGTCGTCCCATCTTCCCTCTCACCAACTCTATATATAAGACGCAAGTCTAGGTGGAGGCCATCGCTCTTAGGTTGGAGGCCATTACTACTATATAGTAGCTAGAAGCCATTAGGATAGAAGCTTCCAGGTTGCAGGCCATCGCTACGAACGTCACAAGAAGCTAGTAGTTATCGTGACCTCTTTCCCTCTCGCCTCCGAGGTCCCAAAGCTTTGGATGCTTGCCAGGTCCACCACCTCCGTCGCCTGCGGCACCGGTGCTGCAGCACCGGTGCCGCCAGCCCGGCGCGCTTCGAGGGGTGCGCCGGTACCTGGGTCGTGGTTGGCAAGAGGTGGAAGGACCTGGGAACCAAGATGTGCGGTAAGAAGCGCCAAGAATTGTGTTAAAAGAAAAAGAATGCAGGCAGAGTGATCTATCTCTCATACCCATGTTATACCAAATTCTTGCAATCCCGTTTGCCACGGATTCAGCCTCAGCCATACTCACAGCCATACAACCCCTTCCTCCCCCTAGTGGCTTCACTGGTTTGATGGAGAAACCTCAACCAAGTCGACCATCGCCCCTGCACGCCATGGGGCCGCCCATGTCATCCGCTCATCCAGCGGCTGGCGCCGCACCGAGCTATGCGCCAGCACGGTGCATGTCGGACCCGAGCACCGTGGAAGATGGGCAATGGGGGGGTCGGAAGAGGTCGATCTCAGAGCCCATAGGTTGGTGGGAAAAAGCTGCCAAGGTCAGAAATGTAATTCAGAAAACATCAGAAAATCAAAGGGCCTTCCTTAAGACCATTTGAGAGATTTCGATAAAAAATATTAGATCCTTGCAGCTCGAAACCTTGGGTGAGGGTGACCCGGATGAGATCTGAGTGCGGCTTGATCTTATTTTCAGAGTTTCACAGGGACTTGGGTTGATTATATACCTTTTAGGGTGAGGCCGGTGGATGGATTGGGATTCCCAGAGATCATGTTCTGTTGCCTATTTCGGTCCAAGTTGCTGAAGGCTCCAAAAGTGATATGAACATAGATCGATGAACCCCATTCAATTTACTCAGCAACAGTGGACCTTGCCACTGTGCCTTTTCACCTTGATCAGTCTCGCGCAGGGCAGCAAGTCGGACGTGAAATCAGGTGGGGCAAGGTTTTCAGAAATTCTCAAGACCAATGCTCAGCATGTGCTTGACATGCTTCACCTCCAGCGTGGCTACATCACAAGCGTGGCTACGTCCAGGTAGCATCACGTGTATTGCAGTAAGTACGTCAAAAGCCTATCATCTTCAACACTCCACCTCAGAAGGGGACCTTCACATCCCTTTCGCCAGGGATGTCGCATGCACTTGCGGGATGAGACATGTGGGGAACAGCGGCAGTGCAAAGTGTTGAACTCACATTCTACATAATTCTACTCATAAGTCTACATAATGATGTAAGAATCCGTATGCAAAAGTATGGCCAATCAACTGCTTGTGATCCACATCCAACCCACCCTTCACATGATGCAGCTACTTACCACGGTGCCACCGCCCCCCTACCAACCCTCCTTTCCCCGCGGCCCCGTGCCGTGTTCGAGACCCACTCCTCAGAGAGAGTGGCGCCATTGGGGTGCGCTTCTTCCCAAAGACATGACAAAAGGGGTGTGCTGCGGAGCTCTTCACAGTGTGTCTATGTGCGAAACTGGCTCATGCGTCGTTCGACTTCGTGACGAGGGATGGGATGTCATGGTGGCAGCATAGTCCAAGTCTGCACAAAGTAAAGATCATGTCTGAATGAGAACGTCATGGCAATCCCAAACATAAAACTATCGTCCTAGACTGGATGTTGTCCGATATTGACTTCAGGATATGTGGGGATGCTATATGTTACAAGTAAACTGCCACAGCCCAAAAACTGCTTTGGGAATTCTTGCTCAACAGCTTCCAGAGTCCAATCCTGGTCCTTTGGAGTCCTGGACTCGACATGGGTCAGATCTTCAGCCGCTGTGCCCATCCTTTTACAAGACCTCCACATCTGATTTGCACTATCCTTCAGTGGTCCGCCCAAGCCGGATTCCTTCAGTGGTCGTCCCAAGTCCCCTTCAGTGGTCCCATCCGATTGGTCTTTATCCATCTTTACACTCTCCTCTTCAGCCATTTCCAAGGCCCCCGGACCTTCGGCCAGTCCCACAACCGCCGCGCCGCACCCTTCCGCGCTGCAGGCGCCTGGAGGGTCCACGACGCCGCATGGGAAAAGTACGGCGGTCCCGAGGTGAGACATGGGCCACTGACATGGAGCCTGTGGCTGAGAGGTGGAGAAGAGGAGGTTCGGATCAGAATTCCGTTCTTTTCCAGCCGATCTTGATATGGCCGATCATGGTCGGATCTTGAGCCTTCTGGATGATGGATCTGAATGCATTTCCACCACGGGTGAGATCGGGTGAGGGTTGGAGATAAGGTTGGCAGATTGGTACCCACCTAACAGCAAAAAGTAAGCCGGTCTGAGGCATCCAGTTCCAGCCAACACGCAAGGGAAGTTCCACCTGAAAAAACACAAGAAACATATGACACTCCTGAGTCGTTTCATCTCCCTGGCAAGAATGGCCTCCTAACATATGCTTAATAATGGATTGTTTCTCTTTAAATAAATATATTCACAAAATATCTCAATCTTGGACCTTTGTGGAGGTCATTCCATTCCTCATGGCCACCCAGATGTTTCATACACCAAACCCATCTTTCCCGACTCGCGCGGAGAGCCTTTGGGTTTGGTGGCCTAGGTGGACGCCGTCTCATGCAGGTTGTTTTGGGTTCTCTCCCTAA